TTAATGTAAAAGAGATTTATTTCTACCTTCATGACTTTAGTGTAAACTGAGCCTGTGACTTTAGTTTAAACCAGACCTATATCTCCCTTCTTGAATTTAGTGTAAACCGGAATTATGTTTATCTTCTTACCTTTTCTTCTCCAGTGTAAACCGGACATATGTCTACCACCATCCTTTTAGAGTAAACTGGACCTGCGTCTATGTTTTTACTTCAGTGTAATCTGGAACTTAGCCTTCATTTTTAACTAGAGTTTAAAAGCAGACCTGTGCCTAGCTTTTGGGGTCTAGATAAAAATGGACCTATGCCCACCTATTTAACTAAATGTCAAATCAAACCTGTACTATATCCAAAATTTACCTTTTTTATATTGAGTGTTAAGGGTGGCGATGTCAACCATCTTTTAGTTTTTTTAGATTATATCAAACCAGTGTCTACCTTTTTACTTTAGTTTGTTTTGTTTTGTTTTGTTTAACGACATATCAATTTCTTATAGGTCATTTAATGTCGAAAATTAGTTGTCTTAAGCGCATTCGTAATTTCTTTTATAAAAATGTATTGCTGGTAATGCTTTTTACTTACAAAAATGTAATATATTTTTCCTTACAAAATTATATTGCTGTTAATATATATAATTTTTTTCCTTACAAAAAGTATTGCTAGTAATATATATATATTTTCTTACAAAAATATAGTATATATATATATATATATATATATATATATATATATATATATGGTTGGTAATATTTCTACTTTTTCCATGCAAAAAGTATTGCTAGAAAAGTTTATTGCTTACAAAAATGTACTGCTGATAATATATATATATATATATATATATATATATTAAGACATTTTTATGTTTCTACATTCTTTTTATAGATACAAATATTTAAGTAAATGCTCGGTTTATAATAAGTATTTGTATCTATAAAAGGTTGAATATAAACATAAAATGTCTTAAAATAATTGTCGGACTTTGTCCATTTCATAACGTGTGATACCATATATATATATATATATATATATATATATATATATCAGAGTTTGTCTATATTTCTGAGATGAGGTATTATGTACAGTATTTACATTAGTCGGACTATTGTCCTCATCTTTGTCGCCATATTTGTCACAACGTTTCGGCCGTTGTACGCTCCGGCCTTCTTCAGGTGGTTGGAATTTCGAACTGAACCCTTTATTTCGATCGCTGGGGTAGACTGTTCTAATTCCACGTGCCATGTTTGATGGATGTCAGTTATCAGTTATCTCCTGCTAATTTTCCCTCTGAAAGTTCTCCACTGCCTTAACCAGGAATTGAACTCACCTTCTTTGGGTCTGTCACTGGATCTAACCAACGCCTTTATCCACTGTGCCATGTGTCCTTGAGGAAAACCTCCCGATATAGTTTAACGTTAAAACCAGCACGAATTGACTATAATATAAAGCGGGCCTGTTTCGACATTTTTTTTTATTATTATAGTGTAAAACCGAACCGTACCAATCCCTAGCTTTTTGATTTTATCATGGTCTATGTCTACGTTTTTTTTTTTTAGCCATAGTCTTAAACCGGACCTATGTCTACTGTTTTGAGTCTAGTGTAAAACAGGACCAAAATCTAACTTTTCGTCTCCGCTATAATACGGACCCATGTCTATCATCTTGGTTTTAGAATAAATCGAATCTATGTGTAGATTTGTAACTATAGTATAAAAACGGACTTGTACCTATTTCTACAATAATAAAGCTCTGTGTACGTGTGTCAGTTCGTTTTTTGATTTCGGCGAATCATAAACATCCTGAAATAATGGGTAGGAACTATTGTAGTTACACGCGATTAAAAATTAAATAAAAAACTCATTTAAATCTAAACTTAAATATTCCAAAAACAATTCTTTATTAAAGGTTTAACTTTTCGCTTTTCGTCGTAATTACAATTGATACCGTCTAATTAAAACATACTTAAAACTTAAACGATTCACGGTATATTGCTCATATATATATTTTTTTTTCTTGCACGCGTACTGTGACGTATTCGAAATATTACATAGTTCAGATTTCTTAATGTTTTTTAAGAGTGACTTTATGTGAAGTCATCCTAAATGATGGTGATTTTAAAAGAAAAAAAAATTGCGCGCAAGATAAAAAAAAAAAAAAAAACTACGGAGATCGGTTGCGTATACGAAGAAAGATTATGCCGAACTAAAGTATCGAACAAAATAATTTCATTTTATAACTTTCACGTAGATAGGACGCTGGAGGTAAAAGGCCGGCGGCCCAAAAGCCTTCCGTAGGAAGTTAGAGTAAAGTCGACCCGAAGTGCGGTTTCTAGGCTAGTTTTAAATACAGTGTAAAATTCAACCTGTGCCTAACATTTCGAGCATAGTTTAAACTGGACATATATCTATCTACTTTACTATAGTGTAAAACCAGACCTATGTTTAACTTTCAGAATCTTGTGTAAAACTGGAATGATAATTATCTTTTTCTTTCTAGTTTAAACTGGACATATGCTATTACTATATGGTTATATTAACTAACACAAGCATACTATTGTTCTGTAACAAACCTATAAGAAATATGGTTGAGTGTACTTCAGATAATGAAAGCGACGAAACGGTTTATGTGTGCGGTTGAGGTACTTGATATTATTTTTATTGGAAACTTGAAGAAAACTGTAAAAAATATATATATTTCCTTCCTGAATCTCGTCTCATGGCCGAACGTTTTGATCTTGTCCGTTTCTGGCCTGTTAGGGAATTCCCCAGAAATAATCCTATAAGTGAGTTGCTACATAGGTTTTCGTCGATGGGAAGATAACTTTTACATAGATAGAACGCTGAGGGTAGAAATGGGCTTAAAGTCTGCCCGAAGCGCGGCTTCTAGGGTAGTTTTAAATATAGGGTAAAATTCAATAAATTTAACATCTCGGAAAATAACATCTCGTGATTTTTGTTTTTTAAATGCGTCACGACTAACGGGTTGGTGGTACTCGTTGCGAAATCTGAACTTTAGGTAAGAATTAAAACAAGAAATCATATAAGGACGTCAGCTTGAAATTCTTTCCTTTTCTATTTTCGTTCTTTCTTTTTTATTATACACTTCTCATAAACCTTGACGTTTCACATGTCAAAATCGCCAGGGTTGGGAGACGCCATGCTACTAACCATCAACAGACAGCTACTGTTCAACAGCATCTCACACCGTACAGCAATAGATATTTTCAAATAAAGGAGAACTACTTTGAGGGGAAATGTGAGAAAAAACTGTATTTAATTTGGCAGCCGAAAGGTGTTCCATAAGCTGATAGGTTTTGGCAAAAAGTAAGGAAATTTTCCGGTGTGGTCGAATGGAAAAGTAGGGTAAGCGTCCATTGTGATTCCTCTGAGGGTTTTTATTTTTCACTGCCGTCATCCCAGCTTAAACATTTGCCATTACTTTTCGGCG